CAAATGGACGACCTGTGATGTCCAATACCTCTTTTATTCAAACCCACCCGTTCTATTTGTATTGGAGTAAATATTTAGAAGAATCGAACGATTAACGTGGCTTTGGTCACTACAGTTTCGGAGGTTTGGAGAGGGAGTCTTGCCCGTCTGCTGATATGACGTGTACTTCGTCAAAGCTTTGTTAGCTTAAATGGTTTGGGTATATATCCGTATTTTTTCATCATGTTTTGATTTGAACATATTTTATATGCAAAAATACAAAAGGGATTAGACAAATGTTATAAAACCTAAAGTTCGCCTTCACCCTTAAAGCAATAATGATGAAATATGCATGTGGCTGCACAGTAGAAAATACTGATGACTGTAAATTTAGATGATTCAAAGGAAACATGAACAAGATAAAATGTACAATATATAAATGTATCCTTACATGTCTCAGTAACCTGTATATAATATAAACATACGCTGTAACATCACTATAAACAATCTAAAGTTTACATTTTCATATTGAAACTTCTGTCAATGATACATATCATATAGTCACTAAAACAACATAAAATTGAATAATTTAAAATTAGCTCTGAAATAAATGATCATGTAATAATGATATAAATCAAACTTATTTAGTTGATTACATACCTGAATGAAAACACATTTTATCAAAATCAATATCAGTTTTCTCTGATGTGAATTTATTATGAATTACACACATATTGATTTTAACTTTAAGTCACACAGATATTTAAAGCTGCCGACACGTGCACCATTTAAATATTGGAAAAGAGTCACGATGATAACGCACGTAGCATGGTCACGGCACTACAAAGCCTGGTTAGCTTGACGTGGTATAAAACAAGAAATGTTCTATAGGAAATTATCAGTACATCTGTAGTGTTAATCTGGCCAGAAATGACGTGTTTCCTTTCACAAATATTATTATAGGAAAGTATTAGTACGGAGGTAGGGTAAATCGGAACATAAACGGTGTTTCCATGCCAGGTAATGTTACAGGTTTGAGACCATTCACGTTTTGATAAGCTATACCTGGGGAGATAACTAGTCTATTCCGACGGAAATCGCTGTGACGTAATAGTTATAGACTACGTCGCCTTCCGAGATTATAATCAGATCAACACTCTCTACAGAACTCTCACGGAGCTATAAGTGGTTAAATGGTGTTAAACCGATTAACATTTAAATTAATACCCTTGCCCACTCAAATCGACAATTAATTATGTTAAACTGACCAATTCCGGAGTTTCCTGCCTGAGCAAGCTGATTTGCCGACACTTTCGTCATTCTATACTACCTTATACCAGATAATCGCCAATCAGTTGAAATCATCGTTACCAACTTACCACCACGTTGCATCGATAGTACGCTTCCATGTTTTATCCACATGTTATTGAACCCAATTCTGTCATAATAATAACAGAAGAGGGAGTGCAAGTGAAAAACTTAGTTCTTGATGCTGAGGGTTACATTTAATGCCTCAAGAATGCTAATATGGGCTATTTATTCCTTCAGACAGTTCCATTCTAGAGCTGACCGGATTAAAAATGTGTATAAACCAAAACCGCGACTGGTAAATTGTCATTGGGCACTTTGAGCGATTAGTAAGACGCTCCTACCACGTTGTCATTCTGGTCTTCTGTAACTCGTTGGCGGGAGTATTTGTACCCACCCCTCAATATCTAAAAATAATGCCAGACGCAGTTCCTTCGGCTTCTGTCCAGTAAAGTTTCAAAGTCTAGAACTGGCGCCATAGGTTTAATGGTTCCTGGCAAGAAGAGGATCGGATGATAAAGCGGATAGCGCACTCGCCTTTTGCCAAGACGGCCGGGTTCGATTCCACGATCGAACCATAGGTTCTCGGGTTCTTGAATATATGTTATATATTAAGGTATCGCACATCACTATGATAATAAAAAGTTGAGTTCTAGAATATATATAACATTATCTGTTGACGTATTACACCTCTATAGATATCGCATCCCTTTATTAGTATAACGGAATCGAACCAGGTGTAACATGAAAAAGTGACCCGCGTAGAAAATCTACCCGGGGGTCATTTTTCTACCTTTAAGGTAACTTGAGGTCATTTTCATTTGCAAACTTTGGTGAGATCTATCACAAGAAGCCACCAGCCAAATATGATGATTTTATGCCTTTATATTATTCAGAAGAAATCGTTTGATATTTTTGACATATTTGACCGCTGTGACCCTGTAAGTAGGTCAAGGTCATTTTCATTTGCAAAATTTGTCATGCTAAATCTAAAGAAGTTACCAGCCAAATATAAGGATTCTATAACTTTCAGTTCCTCCGCAGAAGTCGCGTGAAGTGAGACATATTTGACCCCTGTAACCTTGAAAGTAGGTAAAGGTTATTTTCATTTGCAAACTTTGCCAGGATCCATCCCAAGAAGCTTCCAGCCAAATATTAAGATTCTATACCTTTAAGTTCTTCAGAAGTAGTCGTTTGAAGTGTTTGACATATTTGACCGCTGTGACCTTGAAAGTAGGTCAAGGTCATTATCATTCTCACACTTTGTCCTGCTTTTTCCCAGGAAGCAACCAGCAAATTATGAAGATTCTATCCCTCCCAGTTTTTCAGAAGAAATCGTTTAAAGTCTTTGACACATTTGACTGCTGTGACCTTGAAAGTAAGTCAAGGTCATTTTCATTCTCAAACTTTGTCGGGCTCCAACCAATGAAGCTTTCAGCCAAATATCATGACTTTTGGCCTGTCCGTTCTTCAGAGGAAGATGTTTAAAGGAAAAGATGACGGACGAAGCCGGACGACGGACGCCGCACCGTGACATAAGCTCGGGCAAGTGAGCCAAAAACAGATTATCATGTAAATTACTCTATGGATATATGTTCAACAACAAAATGCAAATGCAATGCAAGATCACTACGTTCGTACCACAGGTGGGCAAGGCACAGACTTACACCCACCACATATATATGCTTAAATGGTGGGGTGCGTAATCTAGTATCCATGTTGATTTCAATTGGTCAATAAAGAGCTGACATTTTGGTTCGTTGGTTGATTGATGTATTTTACGTCTACACTTCACTGACGAAGTCGGTGTTCGGTCGACGTGAGGGGGTAAGTTGTCGCTTAACAGGCCCTCGGAGGTTCTAAAGACCTGCCCATCCAGGTCACGCTCTGAGGTCGGACAGCTCCTCAGATGCGGACAGACCGTTGCAGCTACTGCGGTCCACGGTACGACGTCCGTAGTGTAGTCCTCGGTATCCTCCTATGAGCTGACAATTTATACACTATAGTCTCATATACCGCTTTATCACAACCTAGTTTGTAGGTCGTCTCATAGCGGTTTACAAATTACTATCCGTGGCTAACCAGCCAATATCTTTCTCAACTCACTGTGGAGCATACAGCCGGAGCTGCCATTTTGGCAATCACAACTAGCATTAAAAAAATTCTAGCACTTTGGCCCAACCACGTACTCATTTACAGCTGAGTAGACTGGAATAAGCGGAGTTAAGTATCTTGTTCAAAGATACAACACAGTGCCGTGACTCGAACCCGCAACCCTTCGGTCACGAGCCCGGCGTCCTACCACTACCGTGCCTCCTAGCGGCTGAAGTTTGTCCGATACATTTTTCATTGGTGTACATATGTATTTATTTGTCGTGACAGAAAAGCAACAGAATCATGTATAGAGAAATAAAACAACTCAGAGGTAAACCACACAGTTAAAAAACGATCACCTCCTGAAAGCAGCTTAGAGAAACAGCTGTTGTTCGACCTGTCTTTGTTCAACTGCCTAATCACAGAAAGGGAAACGTTACCAGTTAATACATCATGATAAATCAGCGTACAAATGCAAAAGGGTTGTTATTTTTCAAATAAGTTTAAAATCATCATTGAGTGATCCTATTGAAGAAGCAAATAATTCCTTTTGAATTTTGATTTGTCGATGGAAATGATAAATTACATTAATTAAAAAGATAACTTTGGTTTAAAACATATATTTGTGAAATACCAGTAAAAGATTTATTCTGACAACTTTTCTTTAACGACAGGATACTTCTCTTTTTAATGACTACAAAGATCATATATGCAACAGTTACTGTACAATGTATTGACAATAAGGAATGAGGCTGACAAATACGAACAAAATCCTACCCCAAAATACGTACCAGGGTATTGTTATTGTTCTGTAGGTCTATTGATACGAGCTGTCTAGTTTAAAATTCGGAGATCTGAATAAAACCTTCCTTTGCAAATTCCCACTAATCTAATCTTTGAGGTATGATTACCTGGACCACTGCGTTTTTAGATTACCTGGACCACTGCGTTTTTTGATTACCTGGACCAATGCGTTTTTAGATTACCAGGACCACTGCGTTTTTAGATTACCTGGACCACTGCGTGTTTAGATTACCTGGACCACTGCGTTTTTTGATTACCTGGACCACTGCGTTTTTAGATTACCTGGGCCACTGCGTTTTTAGCTCTTTGTTTTTTATTCGTGTTTGTTTTTTGTCTGCAAGTCATTTTCAATGTAATGTAACTATTTAAACTATCAGTATTGGTATTTTGTTCGTTTACTTGTGATAGTATTTAGGCATTTACTGATAACAAGCGCTTGAAACTCTTCCTTTAAAGATCGGACATGAACAAGGCTATTTATGGTAGTCTTGCTCAAGTCCAAGATATTTTAACAGGAGAGGATTTTCAATCAAGTCAAGCAACTGACCTATGTATCCTTGTACATGTAAAGAAGTTTGACATGCTGCATACATGTTGACAGTTAACAGCTATGTCAAGTTATGTTTAATTGAAAGGAAATGGCGCTATACGCAGTTCTCCTGGTGTACTATGTAATAAAGGCCAACCAGACGTTGTTTATTAAAGATAAAATCCTAGTGTGAAGCCATATGCATCCTGATCTATCTATAATGTACTGAGCAGTGATTCACCAGCGGTTACTATTTATCAGCAGTCTCAAAGTTCGACCCTAGGCGTTCCGGTCTCGACTTTATCAGTCAATGTCCGCCATTCTTTACAACATGGCGACTGATCAAACGATCCAGCTCCCCCAGACCAACAGACGTGATTGATAGTCAGGTAAGGTTCTTATTCTTCATCAACGAGACAAAAATGTCAATCTTTAAAAGTGTCAAACTACTTAAAAAACCAGGTGCACATTGTTTATACAGTTCTAAGTGCAGACTGAGAGTTATAATGTCAACAAGTTTGCATTTACATTTTGTGTGATTTTTTTTCGTACAAGAGATTAATTAATTTGGATTTATGATATACATGTAAATAATTTGAAATTAAGACACAATCTTTTTAGGTTCGTAAAAATTAAACAACATTTAATTCTCTTTTATTTCCTGGTCAGGTCGTACACACATATGTCAAACATGTCCACACACTTATGAACTAACAGATCCTTAGTGTTTCGTTGTTTTATACAATTGTGCTTACGTTTATATATTAGTGAAGTTATCAACCCGACCCCTGAACTCACCAATTTGAAACATTTAATTAGATGGGAGAGGGTGGGGGCACTATTCAGATTTATTTTCCGTTTCGCGGACCCTACGTCATAGCAGGAGTCAACCATTGTCTCTCAGATGTTATGATAGACCTTTCCTCAAAATTGGGGGCTAATGTGGGAGGAAACCGGAGTACCCGGATAAATCCAGTTGGTCGGGCAGGTGACCCCATACCTTTTCACGTCCGATCGGGGTGAATCAAATACAGAATTTAAATACAGATAATTATCTACAGGGACCCGAGAATTTGTAACAGCTATAGACTTTCGGTAATCATTGGGGATTGCATTTCTACTGAAAGTCAATATAAACCCCTAAAACATGTAAAATCACTCTGAACACCTTAGTTTAGGTCCAAATATAGCTGTAACACATTCTCAGTTCTTTATGATAACAGATGTTGTGCCAAAGACACTTAATTATACAGAATAGGAGATACATTATATGCATCTTCTCATACGATAACTCTTAGCCCGAGTCTCCTCTTGCCCTAACACCACACTTACACATTTTGACATATAGATATCTGGTATATGTCAAAATGTCTAAGTCTGGTGTTAGGGCCAGAGGAGACTCGGGCTAGATAACTCAATGATATTGTTTTAATTGCAGGTGTCTGGGTAATATAGAATCTCTGTCAAGTCTGTGTGTCTATACCTTTATCTAAAGCCAATCATCGGGTACAGCTGGTACGGCAGTTCAAGCAGCACCATTCACGTCTACAAGACAAGAGTTCTCCAAACCAAGTATCACCATGATTGAAATCAACCTGAACAACATCACCGCTTACTTCACTCTGAACAATACCTACATCGCCGTCGGATTGCTGACATCATGCATGTCGCTCTGCGGCTGCGCATTAATTCTTGGGACATATATAGGTTTTCAAAGTTTGCGGGCTACTGGTAGAAAGATTCTTGTATACATCACCATATGTAACATGGGTGCGTGTGTAGGACACATCATAGGGGCCGCCACTATCATTGGCTACGACGAAAAAACAGCATTTGTCTCGTTTACGCCGTGTGCTGTTTCAAGTGCGTTCACCATATGTTTCCGCCTGGGAAGTTATCTTTGGACCTGCGCGTTAGGCCTTTTCCTGTGCGTCAGCATGTCGTGGAAACGAATACAGTTTGGCAAAACCTTGATGGGCCCATTCCATCTAGTCTGTTGGAGTATACCAAGTATGCTTACTGCTATTTAAAAAAAGATTTAACCATGCTTGGCAGATTAATGCCCCTTCTGTATGACGCTAGGTGTTTGTTACACATCATTTTGGGTATGCCAGAGACGTATATTATACATCTCTATGTATGCTGAAATAGGGTTTTGACTGGCTTTTCAATAAAAGACTTTTACACATATCTTAAATTGATTAATCGGTATAGAATATTTGGTTGCAAAGATCGTTTAAGATATGATCACTTCGAATTTGGAATTTTTACATACTCTTCCAAAATCAATTACGCTCTGGGTCCATGATTTGCATGTCGAAACTGCAGTTTTTCGAAATTTTACAAGTCATCTCCCTTTATATATCACCATAGTCTATCAAAACAGTTCCGTTTAAATACTCCTAATAAAAACCTTGCACGTTCGATAAACACTAAAGACAGAAGGTGGGTATAATTGTTTTCGCAAGTAAACTACCGTTCTTGACTAGCTTGAATAGAGTGCAGTTAGTAAAAGCTGCATTTCATGACATTTGATTTGTTATATTTGCAAACCAGCAAAAAGGTTCGAACGAAAGATCAACAAATTTAAATAAAATGAACTCTCTATGGATATAAGAAACTTTCAAATCTTGTGATAAAATTAAATGTTTAACCTTTGACAATTTCAATTATGATACTTCAATTATGGCGAAAACCCACATCCCTCTTTTCAGCGACGGTACATTTTGCACTTTTGTTTGTTAGATATCACAATATTCACGACCACTACTGTGTGACGTCACGCTTCGAACCCCCTCCTACTATGCCTGTCGGACATCGTCATAAATCACACCTTGTCAACTTCAAACAAATCACACCTGCTTTCTTGTCCAGTTGATTGCTGCAGCAACTACAGCACTGTATTCTACCTGGGCACACCTTTCCATTATAAAGCAGTAAGGTAGGTTATCACCTAATTAAATTGCACAGAAATAATTTGCAGACATTATTATACTTTTAACCCTTGTCTATCATGTGTTCACTTTAACAATTTTATGTTTATTATTGCGTGTTGTCAGATTGTACTGTCCTACCTGGAGTTAATTGTAAAATCACTCAAGCCTTACTTAACGAGTAAAAGAAAATTGTGAATATAATGCTTTCTAGTCACTATTGTATAGAATTACGTGTAAGCAAAGTTTAATATGAAGGACACCAATGTGTCTTATTTTTAAAATCTGCGTTACTTCAGAGACGTATATACTACTGGCTTTATATGTATCTGGTTACTTGTTAAATATTGATATAAATGTAGACACAGCAAACTACAAGCAGCTTTTGATAGATCAAGTTAACTGGGTCTCGAAAGGGAAAAAAATCATCGAGAGCGCATTGCAAGGGGGATAACTCAATCTAACGTAGTCGAAGGTAAATCGGAGAGCGAGGTGCGGATACTACTTTTAGCTACCGCAAATTTTATTTTATATTAAATATCATTATTTTAAATGAAATTCTATATTTTAACAACTAATGGAAATTGCATTAAAGCCAGTAAGTGTTACCGTTACGCGACCTATAAATTCTTTTGATGTACATCAGCGTTGAGAATTGAGCAAACAAACATATTCGTCTCGTTTCATCAATTGCTATTTCTTAGATGCTTGGATATAGACGATGTTTTCATATCAAATAACAAAATGTCACACATTTTAGAAAATGTTTCAATATATATTTAGATATTTTGATAGAGAAAACTGGTAAATTGGGGAGGGGCCCTTATTACCCGGAACGTCGTTAGATCCACCCTTACTGAGTGTTGTTGCGTTGAGATTTGTAGCTAGTAAAATGTTTTCTGATGATTTGTAGTTGGCATAACGATTGCGGTCCTGGTATCTGACGTCGTTGGGTTTGATTCTCAACCTCTTACCAATCAAAATCGTCCTCCATGGTGCTGGATCGATCATCAGGCCCCGGATTACGTCACGTGGGCGTTTTTGACAGGTCCAGGATGGCAAATGGGTGCTATCGTAGTGTGTGCCTGCGCGTACACCGTTCTCCAGTGGCACTCTATGGTCAAGGTAGGTGGTCACTTCGTAATGGTGTATACAGTGATGGTCAAGGTAGGTAGTCACTTAGTAATGGCGTGCGCAAGTATGGTCAAAGTAGGTGGTCACTTGGTAATAGCAAGCACAGTGATGGTCAAGGTAGGTGTTCACTTAGTGCTAGGGTGCGCAATGATGGGTAAAGTAGGTGGTCACTTAGTAATGGTATGCACAGTGATGGTCAAGAAAGGTGGTCACTTAGTGATGGCGTGCACAGTGATGGTCAAGGTAGGTGGTCACTTAGAGATGGCGTGCACAGTGGTGGTCAAGGTAGGTGTTCACTTAGTGATGGCGTGCACGGCGATGGTCAAGGTAGATGGTCAAGTCATGCTGATCTAGAACCTGATAGCCAAGATAAATGGTATTTTTTTTATACAGGCTTAGATATGACGGTCAAGTTAAGAAGTCATTTCATACTGCCAAAGAGCAAGATGTTCAAGGTAAGTGGTCAATTACTTAAAACATTTTTATTTATACATAAAAAGTATATTATTAATGGTCAAGGTAGGGGTCGCTTCATATAAATTGTGTTAGAAAAAGGCTGCCAAGATGAGTGGTCACTTCATCTTAGCGATGAACCTGATATTCGGTAGGGATGGTTACTTTGTATTTTCAATCCTTGGCTAGGAAGGCACGGTAAAGAATGTTTACGGTAAGCAATGCTCTAACAAAGACTAGTACAGTGCACGTGTACCCAGAGTAACATCTGGTTGATATTTATGATATTCATGCTTATATTTAAATGAAGGCAATATCAACTAAGCGAACATTTAGAGAATATTTTCTCATAATCAGGAACTATTCTTTCAAAACCGCAACCCAATTTTATCAGACGGGTTGTTTTTGGTAAAAGGTTGAAATATTTCGTTCTTTAAGTGGTCGTCAGGTTTTAGAGAGTTAATGGTCCTGACTCGGTTACAGAAGCCGCCACTTGCTGAGGATGTAGGGGAGTCGACGGAGAATCTGTTCAGTCTCTTAACATCTGCCAACTCTCGCCTTCGCCAAGTCCTCGTCGTATTCATCCTCCTCCAAGTGTGGGGCACTTGGAGCTTTCTGGTGTCACTACACCGTCCCAGCCCCATCTGGCTCGTCCTTCTTCAGGTACCGTCTCTCACGACCTGTGTATTGTTCTTCATTATAGAACATGATATTAGTTGTATCGCTATTGTGACCATGGTATTCATAAACTTCGGTTTTAAACTATAAATATAAGCTGGACAGCCCTGTTTCATAACTTCAAGATTCAGTTCATATTTAAACTGATTTTCTAAATTATTCAATGACGTTTAGGGCTGATATATTTTATATACTCAATGTAAGATACCTTCAATGCGTTGAGGCGATGTATATATATAAACATTGTTTAAAAAGGACGAACAAAAATATTCTATTTCTGTTGAATGATTAACATTTCAATTGTATTTTTTTTAAGATTTAAAACGCCATTTTACGACTAAATAACTCTGTCGATAATGGATGATTTTAGTTGGTAAGAGTACATAAATGGAATAAAAAAATCAAGATAACACATTCAAACAAATACAGGGCCGTTTTCGTTTAAGCGGTTGAACCGGTTGGACCACAGTTGTTCGTTTATTAAATAAGGTCGGACCTAGTAATCTGATGCTACTTTCAGGCGAGCCTTGACAAAGCCTTGCAAGGCCTGCATAAACATTTGCATGTCCGCCAGAATTTATACCCGAAATTGTTACATTTAAAAACGGACTAACCGGTTGTTCCGCACATTACATAACAAGGGCGGTTAGGTGGCGCAGTGGATAGGGCACTCGCCTTTCGCCATGACGACCGGGGTTCGATTCCCGATCGGACGTAAGCAAGTATAGGGTCATCTGCCAGACTACGTGGGTTTTCTCCGAGTAAATCGAATTCCTCCCACACTAAGAGCCTCGTGAGTTATCATATGGGCAAAAGGGAATGCTTGTATAACTTGTTTCGCAAATATTGTAAAATAAATGAAGTTAAATTTTAAATAACAAGAAAACCTTTGAACGATTATCAGAATAACAAGTTAAAATACCATGTTTATTTCATCTACTAAAACAACATGTTCTTTCCTACAGGAGATAGGGAACCACAGCCAGGGGCTAGCTAATGCTATCATTTTTTGTGTATATACCGGAGCCGTCAGACATAAATTGGCGCCAAAATTCCAGGCTTGTTGCTGCTGCTGCTGTAGACGTTGTCCAATCAACTGCAAGAAGAGTACCATTAGAATTCCCGTAGAGATGGCAGCCTTAGGTCCCCAGGGCCCGGAGGGCGAGGGGCTCATGGTGAGCACAGCAGAGGATGAAATAGACTAATATCATTTCTTGTGTAAAAATATATTTTTTTAATTTAACAAACACGTTGATCACAAATAAACAAATAAAAACGATTGGTGTGTCGTATTTTATTATTCGAATATTTGAGTTTGTTTTCGTAGGCACATGAATTAAACCCTATTTAACCGAGCAGGAGATGACAGAGGGATATTGGTGCCCACCGTCGTACAATCTTCATTAGTCCTATGTCGGCGTGATCTTTCCTCTGGGATTGAGTCATGTAAACAGTAGACACAGGTTTTGGTAACTTTTGATCAAAACTATATACTGCTGTTTTGACGTAGTCCTTGTTGTTTTGAAGTTATTGCTTCACATTTTTCCTAGAATAGATCGTTTTAAAAGTTAGTGCTATTTTGTTTGATTGAGCCATTTATTTTCTTCTGACCAGGCATTCTGAAGATCAATTTGAAATATGAAAAGGTACGGAATATAATGAATCTACTGATGAAATTGAGAAAGACCTGTGAATTACTTTCTGATTAATAATAATAAAACTCTTCAAAAGTAAACTTCAATATGTCTGCCCGGTGGCCATCATTTTTCAAATCAAGAGTAGCTTAGAAAAGGAACAGTGTTAAAAGTACTGTCTGAAAGAGAGATAAGAAGCGGGAATTGTCAACATCCATGATGTCTGCCTGGCGACCATCTTGTTGCTGTGATTTGTTCCAAACATTAACATGCACAACGAAAGTTCAGACAACCAAGGAAACCAGCTTGTGAAATTTCAGACAACTTTTGAAAACTGGTTAAATTAGGCCTCTGTACACATAACCCACTGTATTGGACCTCTGTACACAGTACCCGTAGTGTTGGACCTCTGTACACAAAACCCACTGTATGGACCTCTGTACACAGTACCCGTAGTGTTGGACCTCTGTACACAATACCCACAGTGTTAGACCTCTGTACACAGTACCCGTAGTGTTGGACCTATGTACACAGTACCCACAGTGTTGGACCTCTGTACACAGTACCCACAGTGTAAGACCTCTATACACAGTACCCACAATGTTGGATATCTGTAAAAAATACCCATAGTGTTGGCCCTCTTTACACAGTACCAACAGTGTTGGAAATCTGTACACAGTACCCACAGTGTCGGATCTTTGTACACAGTACCCAGTGTGTGACATTTCTTTCTTTACGATGACGCAGGCACATAATCTGCGGATTAAGCCCCCTCATTCAAATGATGAATCGGTTTAATTGCATCTGATTATCTTCAGTTGATAATTTTGCCTAAAGGGTTTCAGGGATCTGATGTAGAGGCTGGATAGTCTGATCCACGTTTTTGTTTTTCAAATGGTTTGTAAAATATGTATACAGAAAAATAATAAGTTTAAACATAACACTTTTTATTCCAATACAAGTTTGCATTCCAAATACATAATTCAAGAATGCTTTAAGGTACATGTACAAGCAGCCAAAATTCCTTTTGACTAATCCATCTGTTGTTTAAAAGGACATTGATAAAATCAATGACACGTCATGTTACACTATGGTATCATGACCTCATTATACATGCTGTTGTCGATTTGATTTGTCCACGCTATTTGCAATGATGGATTTCAAGAAAGACTTTAACTGCGGGCCTGTGATATTGGCTGACCATTTCCGACATATCTGTGTCATGATGACTGACGTCTCAATATGTAATGGCGTCTGATAGAATTATTGTAACGATATTGACGTTAACATACGTAGATAGGGTTAACCAGACAACGTCACAGTCCAGTAGTAAAAGTTAAATGATTTATTGATCATTAATACGTGATAAAAATATGGAATGTTGAACATAAAAACATATATATCTATATATATAAAACAATTGTAGGTATGAATACAATACTATACACATGTATTAATCTGACGTCACAGTAAACCATTTGTGTATGTAAATTATATACTCAATAATCAAGGAAATTAACGAGAATTAAAGGTGAGATACAAAAGTAAACAGAATCTGAGGACACTGCAGCGATACACATCTATATACATCAATATGCAACATCGTACAACAGATATATGTAATGTACAATGTATACAAATTAATTATACAATATATATTGTAAATTGAATACATCAATATTTTACAACAAAATGGATCATTCACTTCTGCTTTCCCTGTCAACCTATTTGAAAGGTTAACATTAATTATGCAGTATACACATAAAGCTATGGCTTTAGTTAGACATTTGGAAGTTTCATTTCTATAAACAGTCCAAGAGAATCAAAATTAAATAGATATACGGGGTGATATAGGAACTTGTTAATATCTGCAAATACACCGTACATGCCTTTCAAGAGTGATTATTTGAACATGAAAATATCAAAATTACTAGCGTTGTCGCTTATGATAGTTATCTCCCTTTACACATGAAAGCAATTAATTCAAAGATGCAACAGATTTATATATTTTAATTGCCCAAGCATTATTTTCTATCCTATCTTTGATCAGTTAACTCATTTTGATAGTTTAATACAAAATCAGCTTAAAAAGTTATAATTTTGTAATTATTTTTCGACAACGCTTAGAATTTGTTAAGTCTACTTGATAGAAAAACAATTTAAGAAGTACATACATATAAAACGATATAAGGTTGTCGGTGAATTCACTTTGAAAAGCCTCGGAGAAGTTTAATAAATCCTGAAAAAATGGCAATTTATAAAGAAAGAAAACTTAGGAAGACGTGAACTTTTTATCAACAGGCAGTCAACCTAAGTAGATATGGGAGTCTTCATCATGTTATCCTTCACTATCGTTAATGTTTACCAAATAATAACATACCACTTTTAATGTTCGCAGTTAAGTCTTCGTTTGATCAGTACCGCTATCATATGTCTAGATGTCGTGTCTGACCTACTTATATGTGATGACCTTCACTCCACATCTACTGTCCGTGATCCAGAGGGTTCCGTCCTCCTGTAGACTGATGTTCCATGGTACACTATAAGATGTACCGGTATAAATTGTCCTCAGGTAGTGTCCATCACATCCGTCAATCAGCAGCACTGACTTGGACACATTCTCGGTAAAAAGGACATTGCAGGCTCTGTCAAAACAAACACTACGTGGATAGAACTTGTTTCCGTTAGACTTCCCAGTACCAATCTGTGTCGTGTGGAACTTCATGTTGAGGTGTTTATCCATCACAATGATGCGTGGCTGTTTTTCTGGTTCCTTCCCAGCCATGTAGTTATCAAACCCTACACCATAAGTGTCAACAGCAGCTACACCCCCAGTCTGTGTACAGTACGCCATGTAATAGGGCGATACCACTTCCTGTTTACAGGGACCGCCCGCCCTAGCTGATGCTACCTCCCGTCCGTCTGTAGTGTACACACGTATACACCCCTTCATCCCCACCACTACCGTATTGTCTCCCGTGATACATAGAGACAATGGTTTGTTGGTTACGCTGAACCTCGTGACAATACTACCACTGGACGTGACTTCTCGGACAGTATGGTCATCTTGACAGCAGAACCAAAGAGTCGCAGCACTCGGTGATAGAGCCGTATCCATGACCTTCACACCACACTCGACCTTCTCATTGACCTTGCCCGTCTGATCTACTCGGTATATATCTTCATCCTTCCAGAGAGATAACCAAGCCTCGTCACCTGTAGTACTGAATGCAGTTATAGGTTTACTATGTGTAAATTGTGATTTTACGGTACATTCTGTGATAGTTTGGTACTGTTGATCATCCCCATCTTCTGTAATCGTACCAAGCATGCGCTGCAGAAGTTCAGAATAGATTGTTCCGGCCTTGAAACCTGCTGTCGGCAGTGTCCCGAGAGTTGGTGGGACAATGGAGGTACCGAGGGTGTCCCGGGCGAATGAGATCACCTCCACGTTGGTACCGGATGTCAGTACCTGCTGACACCTGTCCAACTTAGTTTCCTTGTCTTCATTTAAATATTTTGAAAGTTCAGTCCCCGTAGTGTTGGACCTCTGTTCACAGTACCCGTTGTATTGGACCTCTGTACACAGTACCCGTAGTGTTGGACCTATGTACACAGTACCCACAGTGTTGGACCTCTGTACACAGTACCCACAATGTAAGACCTCTATACACAGAACCCACAATGTTGGATATCTGTAAAAAAAATACCCATAGTGTTGGCCCTCTTTACACAGTACCAACAGTGTTGGATCTTTGTACACAGTACCCAGTGTGTAACATTTCTTTCTTTACGATGACGCAGGCACATAATCTGCGGATTAAGCCCCCTCATTCAAATGATGAATCGGTTTAATTGCATCTGATTATCTTCAGTTGATAATTTTGCCTAAAGGGTTTCAGGGATCTGATGTAGAGGCTGGATAGTCTGATCCACGTTTTTGTTTTTCAAATGGTTTGTAAAATATGTATACAGAAAAATAATAAGTTTAAACATAACACTTTTTATTCCAATACAAGTTTGCATTCCATATACATAATTCAAGAATGCTTTAAGGTACATGTACAAGCAGCCAAAATTCCTTTTGACTAATCCATCTGTTGTTTAAAAGGACATTGATAAAATCAATGACACGTCATGTTACACTATGATATCATGACCTCATTATACATGCTGTTGTCGATTTGATTTGTCCACGCTATTTGCAATGATGGATTTCAAGAAAGACTTTAACTGCGGGCCTGTGATATTGGCTGACCATTTCCGACATATCTGTGTCATGATGACTGACGTCTCAATATGTAATGGCGTCTGATAGAATTATTGTAACGATATTGACGTTAACATACGTAGATAGGGTTAACCAGACAACGTCACAGTCCAGTAGTAAAAGTTAAATGATTTATTGATCATTAATACGTGATAAAAATATGGAATGTTGAACATAAAAACATATATATCTATATATATAAAACAATTGTAGGTATGAATACAATACTATACACATGTATTAATCTGACGTCACAGTAAACCATTTGTGTATGTAAATTATATACTCAATAATCAAGGACATTACCGAGAATTAAAGGTGAGATACAAAAGTAAACAGATTCCGAGGACACTGCAGCGATACACATCTATATACATCAATATACAACATCGTACAACAGATAGATGTAATGTACAATGTATAAAAATTAATTATACAATATATATTGTAAATTGAATACATCAATATTTTACAACAAAATGGATCATTCACTTCTGCTTTCCCTGTCAACCTATTTAAAAGGTTAACATTAATTATGCAGTATACACATAAAGCTATGGCTTTAGTTAGACATTTGGAAGTTTCATTTCTATAAACAGTCCAAGAGAATCAAAATTAAATAGATATACGGGGTGATATAGGAACTTGTTAATATCTGCAAATACACCGTACATGCCTTTCAAGAGTGATTATTTGAACATGAAAATATCAAAATTACTAGCGTTGTCGCTTATGATAGTTATCTCCCTTTACACATGAAAGCAATTAATTCAAAGATGCAACAGATTTATATATTTTAATTGCCCAAGCATTATTTTCTATCCTATCTTTGATCAGTTAACTCATTTTGATAGTTTAATACAAAATCAGCTTAAAAAGTTATAATTTTGTAATTATTTTTCGACAACGCTTAGAATTTGTTAAGTCTACTTGATAGAAAAACAATTTAAGAAGTACATACATATAAAACGATATAAGGTTGTCGGTGAATTCACTTTGAAAAGCCTCGGAGAAGTTTAATAAATCCTGAAAAAATGGCAATTTATAAAGAAAGAAAACTTAGGAAGACGTGAACTTTTTATCAACAGGCAGTCAACCTAAGTAGATATGGGAGTCTTCATCATGTTATACTTCACTATCGTTAACGTTTACCAAATAATAACATACCACTTTTAATGTTCGCAGTTAAGTCTTCGTTTGATCAGTACCGCTATCATATGTCTAGATGTCGTGTCTGACCTACTTATATGTGATGACCCTCACTCCACATCTACTGTCCGCGATCCAGAGGGTTCCGTCCTCCTGTAGACTGATGTCCCATGGTACACTATTAGATGTACCGGTATAAATTGTCCTCAGGTAGTGTCCATCACACCCGTCAATCAGCAGCACTGACTTGGACACATTCTCGGTAAAAAGGACATTGCAGGCTCTGTCAAAACAAACACCACGTGGATAGAACTTGTTTCCGTTAGACTTCACAGTACCAATCTGTGTCATGTGGAACTTCATGTTGAGGTGTTTATCCATCACAATGATGCGTGGCAGTTTTTCTGGTTCCTTCCCAGCCATAAAGTCATCAAACATTATACCATAACGGTCAGCAGCAGCTATATCTCCGGTCTGTGTACAGTGCGCCATGTGATGGGGCCATACCGCCTCCTGTCTACAGGGACCACCCGCTCCAGCTGATGCTACCTCCCGTCCGTCTGTAGTGTACATACGTATACACCCCTTCATCCCCACCACTACCGTATTATCTCCCGTGATACATAGAGACGTGGGCTGGTTGGTTACGCTGAACCTCGTGACAATACTACCACTGGACGTGACTTCTCGGACAGTATAGTCATCCCTACAGCAGAACCAAACTGTCCCAGCACTTGGAGATAGAGCCGTATTTGTGACCTTCACACTACACTCGACCTTCTCATTGACCTTGCCCTTCTGATCTACTCGGTATATATCTTCATCATCCCAGAAAGATAACCAAGCCTCATCACCTGTAGTTCTGCATGCACTAACATATATACTGTGTGTAAATTGTGATTGTACGGTAAATTCTGCGATAGGTTGGTACTGTTGATCATCACCATCTTCTGTAATCGTACCAAGCATGCGCTGCAGAAGTTCAGAATAGATTGTTCCGGCCTTGAAACCTGGTGTCGGCAGTGTCCCGAGAGTTGGTGGGACAATGGAGGTACCGAGGGTGTCCCGGGCGAATGAGATCACCTCCACGTTGGTACCGGATGTCAGTACCTGCTGACACCTGTCCAACTTAGTTTCCTTGTCTTCATTTAAATATTGTGAAAGTTCAGTCCGAAAAGAGTTGAGGATATCAACATGTTTCTTCTCCATATCATCACAGTGTTTGATAGATTTTTCTATGAGGTTGTCAATTTCCGTCTTCATTGCGTTTCCCTGTCGTCTGATACTCTCGCGTATCTTTTGAAAACTTTTGCCGTTTTCATGGATTTGTGTATCAGTATCGCTCAAGTCCTTCTCGAGTTTTGAAAATTCAGTGTTCGCAAGATTTTCTCTAGATTTTTCGATTTCCCGTCTCTGTCCAGACAGGTAATCTGTGAGTAGTTCTACTTCGTGTCCTTTATGATTATCAACCATACATTTCATGCAGAGTAAGTCATGTTGACAGTAGGTACAAACATAAACAAACCCCATCCCGGGATGTCTGGTACATCCGGGTACCGGTACCTGTCCCGCCATCTTCAGAAACCATGAAATGTCTAGTCAAACATTGTAGATAAAGTTTTTACGCTTTAACCTCCCTTTTCAAGATGGCAGCTTCACCAGGAAATTCAATGTAGCCTGTTTCTAAATATCTTAGGTCAGGGTTACGAACAGTGTGCTCTCTTGACTACAGTCGTGCCTCACAAAACAAACGACTAATACACAGCAGAGATTTATGACAGCTACATCGTTATCACGTGCATAATATAATATATAATATATGAACAAACTATATACGGGTTGTAATTATGTAAATGTATATTAGCTTTAAGTCTTGCGGCACATAGGCATAGTATTACAACATTTATACAATGATATAAAGGACAAAGAATAATCCTATAGAATAATATGGATAGGACATCATCTTGTACAGGATTTGTGAAAAAACATTCTAGACTAATAATATACTCAAGTCGACATCATTAACTCAAGTTCCTGTCAGTGAACATGTTTTTTGTCAACTTCATATAAACGTGGATTTATTTCACGTTTACACATTGCATTAAATCTCATAAAGTCAACAATTATCAAGTAAACAACGCCACATATATATACCTACACGTATACATACATTATAGTGACTTGATGATAAAACAACACGATTTTAAGTTTGTCATATGAAAATAAAATGAGCATAGTTTTAGTATTTATATTTATCAATGGTACGGGATCACTGGGGTTACGTAGGTGCTGGAGTACCTGTGTATGTAGGGGTTAGGCGTGGAGTCTGACGTACGCGGTGAATTACGTGTTGCACGTGAATTACCTGGGGTAGGGGGTTGTCATATACAGAGTGTATAGGTGTTGGTGTCATTCGAGCTGTTGCCGCCAGACAGTGCGCTTGTGGTATTTACTCTCCCCGCTCCCCCAACCCCGGCCAATTTGGCAGGGAGAAGAAGATGTTACTTGTTACTTGTCATCGAGCTCTAAACTAGGATTGAGAGCCTCTCTGAGCCATTTGGTGTTGAGTTGTAATTGATAAATGATTTATGTTAGTTTGAACTGGTGAATTAGAACATAAACGTGTAAAAGATGGGTACTGATTAGGTTGCCTTACAGGCGTCANTGAGTTGTAATTGATAAATGATTTATGTTAGTTTGAACTGGTGAATTAGAACATAAACGTGTAAAAGATGGGTACTGATTAGGTTGCCTTACAGGCGTCAGCTGTAGGGAATTTCAGCGGTAGAGCATCGGACTGGAGAGCTAAGGGTCGCGGGTTGAGCCCCAGCGACGAGTGGCGTCAGACAGCTGCGCTGTCTCTCACTGGAACCGGGG